GCTACCGAAATGGAGTTTTGGTACTCATAAGGTGGCTGTCCAGTTTTCTGTCGAAATTGGAAACTAGTTTGGTATTTCAGACATCTGTGACGATCGCACCGTTAAAGTTTTCTGAAATTTTGATATGTTGTAGATATTGAGTGGACGAACAACTTTTTTTTTTTTTTGAACACGAGGCTTTTTTTATATCATAAAAAACCCAGGGCAAAAGCCAACTGAACACAGAAAGCCCACAAAAGGCAAGCACAACAAAACAGACAAAGGGCTATGTGAGGGAGAACAACAGAACAAAGACGCTACCACAAAGGTGAGACGTCATCCCAACCCACGCCCACACCAAAAAACACTTACGGAGGGCAATGAAGTCCATCTTTGTTGAGAATGTGAACTAACGAAGATGGGGGTCGCATGACCCAAGTTTTACCGCACATCTCCAAATTAGTCCTCGACGCCAAATGGACGAACAACTTTTAAGAAGAAAGTATTTCAATCCGAGGTCCGCAAGTTGGAGTTCCAAGGCTGTTTACATGGTTGTCAAATTCTCTACGAATTTTGAGTCTGTACTCTTTTGCTTCTGCAAAGAATGATATACAGTCATATAACAATATATATATATATATATATATATATATTTACTTCATGAAAATCAGTAGTACAAAGATTTTAAGATGAAATGAAAAGATTTTCTTATCTATGAGATTCCATGCGACAGGTGAACAGGATTTGTGGCATTGTGCTTTCCACTGACATGAGAGCTTCTCGTGCTGATAACATGTTGTAAAATCGATGGTGCGTGCAGTGGAATAAATAAATAAGACACAAAATTTACGAGGTTCCTCTACAGTCAGTGTGATTGGAGTACGTCCTCGGGGCAGCAGTGGTGCTTTCATTATAATCTGAAATAATAGGAGTACAAAGATAACTCTCTCTATTATCTTCTCTCCTCTTCCTCTCTTTTCTCTCTTTCTTTTCCTTCCTCTCTCTCCCGTGAGTCCCTCACATTCATCTCCAATTCTTCCTTCTTTTTTTTTATCACCCCTTTTGAACACTTGTAATGCTCTATTTATATAGCAAACAAAACACTATTAAACTTGTGAAAGGTTTACTATGTGCATGTGGATTTACTATGTGCATGTGGGCATACATACCCACTATTTACAACAGTTCCTCGTTTATATAATACGTGTGTACTACTACTAGCAGAGAGGAGAAGGCCTGTTTCTGTTTAGGATTAACAAAAGAAGCTTCAAATCTTCAATTGACAAATCTGGAAAATAATGGACCCCAAAATTAGAGACCCTTCGCAAATTTGGGCTAAAAGCTAGCCCTCCTCGTGTCCAATCCAACACTTGCTGCAGGAGGAAAATTTCCACTTTTTTTTTTTTTTGGAAACGAGGAAAATTTCCACTTTGTGCACCCACGAATATAAAGCTACAAAATACAAGAGAAATTAAAATAAGAAACTTTCCCGGGCTTTTCTAATGCTCTCTCTCTCTCTCTCTCTCTCTCTCTCTCTCTCTCTCTCTCTCTCTCTCTCTCTCTCTCTCTCTTTTTGAGGAAGAAGAAATAAGAATCTTCCCATACATACAAAAAGCAACAAGCACACAACTACCATAAACTACTTTTGTCCCGATATTAATTTCATTATTTTCAATTCAAAACTTAATTGGATTCTCAATTTCATGATCGAGCGATGTTTATGCCTTTCAGCCTTGCTTTGCGAAGTTTATTTTTGGAAGGGTCTTTAATAAAAAGCTAGCTAGCTCAACAGACCAGACTGGAAACCATAAACCACATTTCTTGTAAAAAACATTCGAAGATGGATCGAGAAAACCAAATTTAAACATAAGTACCTTAATTTCTGTTTCTTGCTTGCTAGCCCTGTTAGACTTTATATATTTCATAAACAACTAAAAACACTAACTTGAAAGAATTCATATATTATGCTCAATTGATAAAGTACTCGAAGTCAACATGGCATGTAGGAAAGATCAACCATCTTTGATAGAACTGTGCGGAATAGGCTCAACCATGGACTTCTCCTTCAATGGAAATCGTATTGGAATCCTGCGGAATAATGTGTTAGTTGACCAAAGTTTTATGCACACTCAACACTCCTTTATACTCGAACTAATAGGACGTTCATGTGAGTTTTATGTGTGTTGTGAGCAAGGACCTTAGCCTTGTATTTATATGGACTTAACCCTAATGAATCTTCCCATAATAATGTCATTAGAATTCCTTGCAGTCCAAGGATAATTGATACACCAAATATCATTCCAAATAGGATAGAATTAGGAGCCTTTTCCCCAAGGAAATCCGAAATATATTAACTTTACTTGGGGTACAAGCTATAGCTATTATCTAAATCCTAATCTTATTTATATTCCAAACAATCCTTAAATTAACTGTGTAGACCTATTAACCGTTGGATTATGGTCCAACGTCCAACATTCTCCCACTAGGTCAAACTGTTAATTTAGAAAAGATCATTAATGGATTTATAAGCAAGATTACTTTATTGGCCAATGAATTTAGTCAACTAATAAGCTTCCTACATGTTCTGTCAAATGGAGTTTGCTTATCTAGAACTATCGGAGACTATGAACTTGGTAGAATCCATGAGCTCTTATAATCACTGAAATAAGCTCTCCATTCACATGAAACATACGTCATAGATTTGGTATTTAAGGTGAATCAAAACCTGAATTGAAAGCATCAATTCATTCACTTATTGGTCCTCCTTATCAATCTTTATAAGATTGCCTTATGCTTCCTATGAAGCTCATAAACTGCAGAACCAGCTTACTTTTGTGTCTAACAAAATTGATGACACAAATCTTTTGCAGTTTAAGACGTTCGCTGCTACTTTATGTGTTCTGAACTACAAAACCTAAGTACAAAACTCAATCCTCCTAGTACTTAGAACGCAACTAAAAATACACCTTTGCTACTCTATGGAATTCACAACATAAACAAAAGATTCAATCCATACCTTAATGCAGCTAGTAAATTTTGTTGCTTCCTTATTGTCATGAATCATAAACTAAACTAACTAACAGCTGCATAAAAACCTTCACAGCTTAGTAAATCATGACAACCTTATGTGAATGTGTAATGCCAACTTGGATCCTCATTCGACTAGTCATAACCGGCCACAATTTCAACTATATATAAGAATTGAAATTTAAACCCACGTTCATAAATCAAACAAGTAAGGCACATATCAACATAATTACCTAAACATCCCTTATGACATAAGCCACACATTTAAATTGTTCCTCCCTCTAATTAATTATATCTTATATCGAATGCGAGAAAGAAATACCATAACCAGATGCATATAATCATAAAAAAAAACATGTTATTGCACCTTACACTTAATCATATTATACAACAATTAATATGTTAAGCCAAATTCGTTTAGCAAGTATAACTTCATGTCAATTCTTTCAGTCACTACTTCCAAATAGTATGCACCAAACAACTTAAAAAACAACTGTCTTTACAAGAACTTAACCAAATAGTAGTTAATCATGTATGGCACGAGTGTTAAAACATGAGAATACTGTCATACATGCATACAAATTCCACAAACTTGACTTTAAAATTCTAGGGAGAAACATGCAAATATAAAACTAAGTATCATACTCAAAACTTTACAAACGTATATTAGCATTAGAACAACTCCCACGGATCTTTAGAACTTGCACATGTGACTTAGATTCAATGAGTGTGAAGCCCAATTACTTGTTTATCAATTCTCTCACTTGGGCAAGCACTCTGAAAAGCATATAGGTATTTATTTGTACTGGTATAGAATTTCCCAAAATATGTTGGTAAAGTAGTACACTAGCTATACCAAAAACCAAGATTCCAGCTTGAGGAATTACATAATTAACGTATAATTGATTTGTCCCAAAATCATATAGACTACACGAGAGACATTAAAATTTATAAAATAGAATATGAAATTGTTCTAGAGCTAAAAGATAGCTCAAATTTTTCGACGTATAACAAAACAATGAAAACTTCAGTCTGGACTTTTAACTGTGCACAGGTTACTAATAAAATCACCATAAATAGAGTACACCACCAATAAGCATGAACTTTTCCAGTCTATAAGTAGACATATCTATGAACAACATATCCAAATTTCAAGTCATTCTGAGGTCATTCAATCATTCGTTTGTTAAACTTAATTGAAACAATGAAAACTGCCAGACTAGACTTTCAACTGAGCGCGAGTTACTAATAAAACCCTCATAAATAAAATACAAAACCAAAAATCACGAAATTTTGCAGTCTAATAGTAGACATATATTTGAAGAACGTAATCAAATTTCAAGTTATTTGGTGATTAATAGCTCAGTCGTTTGTTAATTTCAAAATAAGTATTCTAGAAGAAAAATACTGTGCATCTATGTCAACTTGATAAACCACCAAAAATTCAATTCTTCATGTATTTTCGTAATTTTGGTGTCTAAAGAAGCTTTAAGAAATCTACTTCAACATATAACTTTATCATGAATAAATCTTGGACCATAAAGATATGCAAATAAACAACTAGTAAAAAAAACACTTTGCGCGACACAGGTCCTTCGTCGCGCAAAGTCAAAAAAACGTCGCGCAAAAATTAGCACAACGAACCTTCGTCGCGCATCAACCGTTGCGCCAAGGCCGTGACAGAAGGGTTTGCACGACGAAGAAGAGAACTGCGTCGCGCAAAGTAGTTTTGAGCGACGTAGGACCGCAAAGGCACTTTGCGTGACGCAGTTCTCTACGTCGCACAAAACTATTTTGCGCGACGTATAACATGCGTCGCACAAAGTATATGAGTCGCGCAAAGACACTTTGCGCGACGCAGATCCTACGTCGTGCAAAGTATCTTTGCGCGACGTATGTTACTCCTTCGTCGCGCAAACCACTTTTTTTTTTTTTTTTTGGCAAAAATATTTTTCATTTAATTTTTAATAAATATTGTAAATTCTAAACGATAATTAATAAACAAAAAAAAGTATTTGATTATAAAATATATGAAAATGTACATACAAAATGTCCGAACAAAAAAGAAAAAACTGCAACAAGTAGTCTTCTATGTTTGATACATCAAACTACTGGGTATCGGCTGGGCGAAATGGCTGGGAGGTCGAAGGTGGAGCAAGATTAGGTGCTAGCATCGGGATTTAGAGGCCGGACATCTGTAAAGCCCGTACAATAATACTCATCTGCTCGCCCTAGGCCCTCATATGCTTGCCCTGGGCTGCAAGTTGACCTTTTAGGGTTGTCACTTCCTCCTTCAAGGCATTGACCTCTCCTGTGGTTGATCTGGAAGAGGAGGCACCCATCTCACGAACCCGCGCCTTCCCTGTACACCGAACAATAAAAATATAACATTAGAAACTAGTCCTTTCTTGCATTTGAAACTAATCAATTAGCAGCCAAAGTAATATCATATCCTTTCTTGCATTTGTTCACACACACACACATATATATATATATATATATATATATATATATATATATATATATAAAGCAGTAGTGCAATGGTAGAAACAATACTAATTAACGATGTCAACTATACTTTAAACCAATAGGATCAGATGTTCCGTTTATGTGTTTCTTGATTATTTTGGTCTCAAGTTAATATGTCGTATTTTTATTTGTCGTAAAATACATGTAAGAAAGCAATTCTAAGTAGATATATACTTGATGTTTATCCAAAAGCTATCTTCAAACACATTGACAATATTCTTAGTGCAGTTATTAAATTCTATTCCTGCAATCTAACTAAGAAAGCTTTAATTATCATGGCCTATCTGACATGGACAAATCAATCATCAAACATAGACAGTCCTTATGCACCTAATTATACAGCATGGGAAGCATGACTTCATCAGTCAACAAACATACACAGTCCTTATGCACAAATCAAAAGTGGCATCAAGAAAACTTTAACTACAAATGTGAGAACAATCATCGCGTTAGAAATCATTTATCAATCTTAAATAAGTGTCCATACAAGCAAAGTGTTGGCAACAAACCCCGTGGACATGTGTAAGAAAAAGATTAGAAGCACAAGTGTAAGAAAAGGAAAGCTGGATAAGTTACCTGCTTCCCATTCTCATCCATGATAATCATCCTCGGCAACGATTGAACCTGCATTAAGAAATTTGACTCTCATACAAAGAGAAATAGGTTCACTAATACAAAGAGAAATAGGTTCACTAATGCCCAAACTCAATACAAGCAAACGACGAGACAACAATCTTAGAACTTATCTGGAAAGAGATCCAAGGGTAGCACATGAATGGAGATTAAAACACGTATGCATATATGATAAGACATCCAATCCCTGCAGAAGACAGATCAATACAAAACATATTTGACTATTTGACATGACTATCATCAGACTCTTCTTACGATACTGTGAAGCATCCAGCTTCAGCCACAATCCTCTTTTCATAAACTTCATATAAAAAGGTCATACCCAGTGCACAAGGCTCCCGCTTTACGCAGGGTCTGGGAGAGGTGAATGTCGGCTAGCCTTACCCCCATTTATGGAGAGGCTGCTCCCAAGTTTTCATAAACTTCATATAAAAAAGAAAAATCATGTGCTATTCTTATAAGCATGAATGTAGCAGAGTTCTTAAACCCACAAGGTTTTTTAACTTAATCAATCTGACCTATTAAATAAACAGCCTACGCAACACGAATTTACATAATTTTCACATGTTAATAAAACAGAATGATTTGTATATTCATATGACAGTTAAGATGGTATGAGAGCAATATTTAACACAAAAGCAGAAGGAAAATAAGGAGCTTGCAGAGTAGAAACAATGGTTACCATTCACCATGATGGAAACCGCGTAGCGTAGTTCCCTGTAGCCCCTAAAACATCCACAAACGTATGTATGAACTAAGAAATATTTGTACAAAGAACATTAAACAACCAGGTATGGCGTGCAATGGACAATGCTATTCACGAAATGGATGAAATTTACAGTCTAACAATATAAATTGGTTTTATCCATTTACAAATTTATAAACTACGCGCATTAGTTCTCGCATCTTGTTATGCAAGGGTGTGCACATCGTATTGTATCTTGGCTCATACTTGCGATTCACTCAAATTTTACAACATTATGCAAAGCTTGTTTGATTTGAAAGAAGAAAGAAAAAAAAGTAATATTGATAAATGCTGTCATTACTTTTACCATGTCAAGGAACTCTATAGGACTGTTCTCATAATCCATCTCGTCCTCGGATAGGTAGAGCTCATGGTCAGGGCTACGAGATACATAGTACCTCCATTCGCCATTCTCAATTTCGCGACAATTAGGGCATTCCATGATACCCTTTACATTGAATGCAGAACCAATGCAATCTGAAGAAAAGTGAGAGTTCAGGACATCAAACAAAAAATAACAAACTCTCGTATGATATGGTAAGCATAAGAGAGATAAGCATAAACCAGCACACTGCATTTAGACCAAAAGCCATTTGAAATAGCTCCAACCAAGTTTAATGAGAAAACCAACAACTATTAATAAACTCAATTTACACCCCTTGAGTTCTAAGATTTACATCAATGCTGTTGAAACAACCAATTCTCGAACAACTTAGGCACACGCATACACACAACTAAGTGAAGGCTCCTGCCAACTCAAAGAAATACAACTCAGAGAAGACCAAGTAATAATAAATTAGAGCAATTGAAAACATGAGAGGACTCCAGGACGTACCAAACTTTTGAATGGGAAAGTTTTACTTTGCAAGACAAATATCCTTGTGGTAAAGCACACCCTCTTTGTTCTAAATATGAGCTGCCATGTGATAAAACTTAAGAAATGAGTCATTTCTCACTTAAACAAAGGCAATATACAGATTAAGGGAACAAAGGCAAACCAAAGTTCATTACATTTAATAGGTCTCAAAGCAAATTGAAAGCTTAAGTACATGGAAGATAAGGTTGGCTTGTAGCTACCCTTTGAAATAAAAGTAGTAATTCAATGATTAAATTGATAATATCATAAAGTTCATAGCTAGCCAGCTAAGCTTAAGTAAATGGAACAATAATTACTACAAAACCAGGAAAAAAAATATCCATTTTATGTCTCTTAACACAACACTAAAATGCAGCTAATAGTTATTCTAATACTTAGAAAATCGAATAATACATATGTACCTACAAGAACCCTCAAACAAGTATGAGCCTCGGCAGCTTTGTATCTCTTACACGGAAATAACAGCAAATGATCAAAAGCAATCCAATTCTTTCACCCTTTACCCTCAACTCATTCAGATTACCCCATAAATTTACTACAACCCCCCAAAACCATAAATCTACAGCAACCCCCCAAAGCCATAAATTTACAGCAACCCCAGAAATTCATAAATTTTACTACCCCATAAATTTACAGCAACCCCCCAAAGCCATAAATTTACAGCAACCCCAGAAATTCATAAATTTTACTACCCCATAAATTTACAGCAACCCTCAAATCACACTCTAGACCTAGAATGGGGTAGTAAAACTGAAATCTGATACACAAACTAAAAATTGAAATCTGATACACAAACTAAAATTGAAATCTGGACCAAATAAAACCTTAATTATCATATGTTGAACGATTAAAGCAAAAGAGCAAAACATTGAGAGAGAGAGAGAGAGAGAGAGATGTGAAGGGACCTTCGGAATTGAGACGGAGTGAGATGAGCGAGAGGGAAGAGAGAGACCAAGATGAGCAAGGGGGTTCATTTCCTGCATACAAGTAGCTAAATTGGGGAAAAATACAAATTAAAGATTGAAACTTTAGCTGAATCTGAGAAGAAGATAGACCTGATTACTTGAGACGAAAACTACCCAAAAACGCCAGCAATTCTTCCCAGAAACGGGATTAACCGAATTGATAAAGTTAGTGAAAATTTGTGGACAAAACTGCCCAAATTTGTGAGAAATTTGTTAGGATGAAAAAAAGGGGAAAGGGAAATTTGTTTGCAGATGGGCGAGAGGGAAGAGAGAGACCAAGATGAGTAAGAGCAGAAGGATCGACGTTTTGTCCTATAAAAAAAAATTGGGAAATTTAAAAAAAAGGCGCCTATTATTTACAACTGGACCGCCAAAATTTAAAACTTTGTGCGACGTAGGTGCATCTGCGTCGCGCAAAACCGCTTTGTGTGACGTATGTGCACCTACGTCGCGCAAAGTTTTTTTTTTTTTTTTTATTCCTTTTGCTTATGAGTACAAAATTAATAAATTAAAATCTACTTAGTAAATATATATACCATTGAACTTGATGGAAACGTATAGTAAATATATATACCATCAAATTTAAAGCTACTTAATTAATAACTATATATATATCATTCAATTTCTTAAGTGTTATAACATAATAAATAAATTTAAAACTACTTAATAAATATATATATCATTCAATTTCTTAAGTGTTATAACAGAATAAATAAATTTAAAGCTACATAACAAATATATATATATATATCATTGAACTTGACGGTTATAAACGAAAAATCACAATTTAACGGTTATTTTAACTCCGATTTTGATGTTTTTTTATAGCTACACTCCTTGATCCTATATGAATACAATGAACTAATTTGATCGTCAATTTAAAATATTTACACAAGTGGATAACACAAAATCTTATGTTATACCTAATGAAAGTGTAAATAAACTCCCAAGTGTTAGTGAATCTATTGTTTTGATGAGATACACATTCTACGAAACTAGTTTCAACGATCCAACCGTCAAACTTGTTTGTATATACTTTGAGATCGCATACGCCAAAAATCGCAAAAAACAAACATGTAGAGATGATGTAACTGGACAAAACTTTTCGACGGTTTAAACGAAAAATCACGATTTAACGGTAGTTTTAACTCCGATTTTGATGATTTTTTACAGCTACACTCCTTGACCCTATATGAATACAATGAACTAATTTGATCGTCAATTTAAAATATTTACACAAGTGGATAACACAAAATCTTATATTATACCTAATGAAAGTATAAATAAACTCCCAAGTGTTAGTGAATCTATTGTTTTGATGAGATACGCATTCTACGAAACTAGTTTCAATGATCCAACCGTCAAACATGTTTGTATATGCTTCGAGATCGCATACGCCAAAAATCGAAAAAAAACAAACATTCAGAGACTAAGTACGGGACAAACCTTTTCGACGGCTATAAACAAAAAATCACGATTTAACGGTTATTTTAACTCCGATTTTGATGATTTTTTAAAGCTACACTCTTTAAACCCATATGAATACAATGAACTAATTCGATCGTCAATTTAAAACATTTACACAAGTGGATACCACAAAAGAAAAAGGCAATGAAAGAACCCCAAAAGAAAAGCAAAAAAAAAAAAAAAACTTTGCGCGACGTAGGTGCATCTGCGTCGCGCAAAACCGCTTTGCGCGACGTATGTACACTTACGTCGCGCAAAGTTAGGAAAAAGGGTAAAACATTGCAGGTTTGGCGCCAAAACTTTGCGCGACGAAGGCCGACGTCGCGCAAAGTGCCGTTGCGCAAAGGCCATTTGCGCGACGTTTTGTGTTTGGCGTCGCGCAAACAAACTTTGCATGACGAAATTTTATGCGTCGCGCAAGATTCCGTCGCGCAAACATGTTTTTCTACTAGTGAACATAGCAGCAGATTTCAATGTATACCTTAGGCAATTGTGGTTAACCTTCATGTGTTCAACAACATATGCTCCATTTAATTTTGAGAAGAGAAGACAACACATAACAAACATTAAATCACATAGTCAATCTTGAAGAAATCGCAAAATTTTTAACAAGATAAACATACCATCATCTCTGAATACACTATAATATGCCACTTTCGAACTGAAATAAGGCAAATTTAATCAAACGTGTAACTCGATCCAAAATTAATTTAAACCAATGAAGGTTACATTTGGTCAAGAAACCTTAAGACCAAACAAATTCTATGTCATGCTTTATCTATCCCAGTATGGGATTTAAGGGGGCTCATTTAAATATAGAACTATTATGACTTTATATTCACAAATGAAAAAATACACCATAGACTTCACAACTGAAACAACTCGCACCTTTGTTTGGTTGAAGCTTAATCAGTTTTTAGTGTTAAAATATAAATCATGTGAGCAAAATATAGACATGAAAACTATCCACCTTTGTTTGGCAATCAGTTATCACAAGATTCACATAATCCATACTTTACACTAAGCCACTAGTAATTGAACCAATAAGACTAGTCACGCCTTTGTTTGGGGATATAGTCATATTGTTATGACTACTAATGCAATTCGATCAACTAAACTTTGAATTTTTAGCAGCCCTTGAATCAATGGAACAGATTTGTTGTGTCCCATTCGCCCAAGAGCATCTCAAAAACATTGATCTTATGATAACTTTTAGCATGTCTTAATAATAAAAATTTCAACAAAGAGCATGCTTATTTAGAGAAAACATGCAAATTTTCGGTTTTAATTAGACCTAATATTTTAAAACATGTGAAGCTAATTTCATCTAGGATCTAAACCATGCATTAGTTCCATATATGCATGATAAGAAAAATAGCTTGCTATAGAATTGAAAAACTGAAAGCAATTCTAGCATGAATTACGCAAAATATTAGGCAACCAAATATTGATATATACGAATGATTTTTCCAGTTTTAGTTATTCACTAGCATTCATGCCCGCGCGATGCTGCGGGTTCATCAATAGTGACATTATTTTTTCAGTAGGACATGACATTTTAATTACATAATAGAAAATGATAGAAGACAGAAATTGTAAAAATGAAGTTGATCAAAAGATTAACAGCAATAAACTACTCATTATTCGAAATATACATGAAAGTTGTCATTCACATGATCCAAATGGTAGTTAATGCAGAGGACAAAACAGAAAACAAATGTTATAGCAGCTAAGTTGAATAATTGCAGCAAGCAAACAAATAGAAGACTCAAAAATTGGAAATGAAAGCAGGTAACATTGAGTTTTAATAACCGAAAAGGGACCTCATTTAAGCAGCTCCACAGCAGCATTTATACTTGGATGATGAGCTGCAAAAACAGAAAAGAAAACACAAATTAAACTAAAAATATAGAATTTAACACTAATCCAAGGATTAAATATTAAATATCAAATATAAAGTCATTAGGATTAGAAATCCAAACAATAAGCAAATCACAATACCAATTTGATTTTATATGAGAAGAATGAATATGTATAAATTGAATATCAATCATATATATATAGACTAACCTAAATAGAAACAGTCAAATTAAAAATTAAGATCAAAAGACTGATCACACACTCTATTCATCTAAATAAACCTAAGGGTTATTATTCACCCCCTGCTTCAGCTCAAGTTCAGAGGCACTATTTGAATGTGTTAGGCACCCAGAAAATGAAACAAAAAATCGTAACTTTCCTAGAAAATTTACTTCTTTCTTTGACTGATTACCCGCTTTCACTCACTTCAATCCTCTACGAACCCATAATTTTTTCAATCCTGGGATCCCTAAAAAAATCACCAGAATATAAATTTCTTTGCTAAAGAATAGGAAAGCAAAAAAAACCTAAAAACAACAAAATAAAAACCTCATGAACAAAATTGTTGAATATAAAAAAATAATTGGCAAAAGCAAGGAAATAAATAAGGAAAATAGGTTTTGGTTCCGAAGCTCACCAATTTGATCCTCTCAGCAACGACCAATTCGAATCAGTAATGTGAAAACACCAAAATTTTGATAATTGAATCTCCAGGTCAGCGACCCAAGGAGCAGAACCAAGGCACAGAAAATTGATTTAAGCCGGTTTCTACCGTTGGACACACACGGACAAAGCCAGAATCAGAGAGGCAATACAAATCGAGAGACAGCAGTGGAATGAAAAACAAAAATCCACTGGATAAACTCGAAACAGAGATCTGATCGACGATGCTTTCAAGGGTTTGAGAGGAACAGAGCAGGCCGTAATCGGCGAGGCACCACAAACTGAGATCGATAAAGGATAAGGTCGAGAAGAACAGAACATAGATCTAGATCTGTGAGAAGGCAAGGGAAAGCAAGAAAAAAAAATGGAAAACACTCGGTCCAAATAGAGAGCATCCATCGACGACAAACGCGTGGAAGTAATGGACAAAAGCGTCTTTTAAATGTGGGAAGAAGCAGCAAAACGGCTAAGCAAAGAAAAAATCAGGGGTATTTCCGCCATTTTACTATTGCTGAACAGTGCCATCATCAACTGAGTTTTAGTATATATAATATCAATTATTTTCGGTTTGATCATATATATTAATTTGAAAACGTTAACTAGTCCAAATAGAGATTGAGCATGCAGTAGCATATTAATGAAGTAAGAAAAGATGCTAGTTTTATAAAAGAAAATTGCAAACAAAATCTATGTAGCAGTGAGCTTGAAGACAAATTAAATCCTGATATATGTCTTATTTCAGATAGAACTCATGAGTTGAATACGATATATTCCTTGATTTTGTAAGGTACCCCATTTAACATGCATTTAGTCATATGTTTCAACTAGCATGCTAATACAACAATAATATATATTCATGAAACAAATGTGATTTAGACACATTGTAAGGATGTACTTACATTGAAACTGCTTTGCGACAATAGTTGTTTCATACACTGCTTCAAGACCATCACATATGTGACATACACAATCCTATAAGCTTCATGATCAGAGGTGTCCTCTAATGTTCTTAACGAGGTTGTTCCCTTTTTAGCCAATTTCAGCAGCAATACATATCTATGGTATTCAATCAATAATATAGTTTGCATACTATTGTCTTAACAGTTAATTAATCTCATAATACCAAAGCATGTGCTATAACATAAGCAATATACATATGAAGTATCATTAGTAATTTATATGGCCAAGAACATGAAACACAATTTACATTAGTAGTACCCAGAATCTCCAAAGTAATTTATCAAAAAACTTGAACAAGGAAACCAAGTCAAAACCATATGTTAAAACAAATTGTGGGTTGCCACATATTCTTAATGCTTATTAACATCCTTAAATTCTCTATGTTGCCAAAAAATTATGCAATAACCTTAAATGATGATAAAACTAATAAGGTCGTGTACCTTTCCTTTTTCTAGGAATATAAGCATGATAAAATAAATGTTATATGGAGGAGATTTGGAAGTCCGAAAATAATCTGAGGTGGGACCGACATTACCCTTCTTAATGCTTGGAATTTTGCTACCAAAATTCTAAAAATTATTTTCTTTTCAGACACTGTATAATATCAAATCTTTTGGGATATCACCATCGCTTCCAAGATTGATTTTCCATCTCTCTCGTAGTCATACACACACACACATATATATGTTATATTTATTAGGGTTTAGGCTTCAACCAAACAAACATGACAAAATAAACGTTATATATGCCATATGCCATTCCTGAAATTCTATGTGTTGACAAAAATAAAAAAGGAAACTAATAGGTTTGTAACTTTATAGCGCCATGTTTACCTTTTGCCGAAATATGTATGTGGCTAAAAAAAAGTTTACCATCATGCCGTTGAATACATACATATGCCAACTCCAAAAACTTCCAAATCATGACGAATATACTTAATGCCTTTTTCCTAACTTTCTAATTTTAACATCCCAAATTATATGTCCACAACCACATAGGAGACTCAATTAATTAAGGTAGTTGTGATAAAGCTAATAAACACGTATAAACTCAATAGGATAATGAAATCGAAACAGTATGCAATATCAATTAATAGTCTGTAATATTCCTTCAAGTCAAAGGACAAGTTTTAATATATATAGCTATCTCAAATTTCAATATGAAATTTAGGTTACAACACAATTCACATTGTCAACCAATTTCTTTTTGCCGTGAAACATGAGTATGGAAATTGAGCAAAACTTAAAACATGTCATCGATTCAAGACATCAATTTTTAGGGTTTACCGAGTAGGTCTTTAGTTGTATTACGACCTGCTCTGATACCAACTGTTAGACTTTATATATTTCATAAACAACTAAAAACACTATCCTAAAGGAATTCATAAATTATGCTCAATTGATAAAGTACTCGAAGTCAACATGGCATGTAGGAAAGATCAACCATCTTTGATAGAACCGTGCGGAATAGGCTCAACCATGGACTTCTCCTTCGGTGGAAATCGTATTGGAATCCTGCGGAATAATGTGTTAGTTGACCAAAGTCTTCTGCACACTCAACACTCCTTTATACTCGAACTAATGGGGTGTTCATATGAGTTTTATGTGTGTTGTGAGCAGGGACCTTAGCCTTGTATTTATATGAACTTAACCCTAATGAATCTTCCCATAATAATGTCATTAGAATTCCTTGCAGTCCAAGGATAATTGATACACCAAATCTTATTCCAAATAGGAAAGAATTAGGAGCCCTTTTCCCCAAGGAAATCCGAAATATATTAACTTTACTTGGGGTACAAGCTATAGCTATTAACTAAATCCTAATCTTATTTATATTCCAAACAATCCTTAAATTAACTGTGTAGACCTATTTACCATTGGATTATGGTCCAACGTCCAACAAGCCCCTCTATGCTTTAAAAAAAGTAACTAATGCCAACTACCGAAAGGAATTATAATGCAAATCTAGTCACCAGTCCAGATGGAAGCCGGGAGGTGGTAGTCCGCTGCTCGCATAGAGAAAATGGGGTTGCAGAATCTGTACATTGTCAGGTATTTGAGAAATTGGTTACCAGTGTTTGATGAAACTAGATGTAGTATTGGTTGTGATGATGATTTTGTAAGAACGTGCATGCTTGAAATGCAATCTGGACTTTTCTTGTTTGGTGAACATGAACGACGTCCTATTTCTCTTTTTGAGCAGTTTAATTTGGTGGATGAGCAAGCTTTCTGTGCTAGCTAGTCGTATTTCTCTGACATTTACATCTTGTCTGGCTGTTAAGCCCTTAAAACCTTTGAGAGAGGCGCCTTTCTTAAAAATTTAATCTTGATAGCTCGTGGAGCCGTTGTGGCTTATTCTGTGGCCATGGTTTTGGAAATTAGGCACCTTACTCAAAGATTTAAGTCTTCCTGATTCTATATTAATTTGTTGGGGATAATTATACTCGATAGCTGAGAGTCGAACAAGATGATCTTACTTCAGTTTTCCTGCACTGTGGCACCAGTTAATTATGTTCTAGTATACGTGATGAAATTATTTACTTGTGTGAAGTAAGGAAAGCAGAAAAATGCTAATATGAAATTATTTGCATGTATCATGTATTAAGATGATATACATGAGCATATACCCGGAACTAGTAAATTAGCTTTATGATCACTTAGTAACTGCATCCATAGACACTTAACTACAATTCAGATTGATTAATTTTTTCGTTTGCTTAGGAGAAGGGGAGCCTCCATGCTTTTTACCTTGGTGGTTGTCATTTCTATCTTTGGTGTCTCTGCCGGAAATGTTTTTCATCTACATAGAGCCTTTCCAATGAATCACCATGTCGAGCTAGAGCAGCTCCAAGCACAGGACACAGTCAGGCACCACCAGTTTTTGGGTGGGGTTGTAAACGTGTCGGTCGCCTTACCAAAACATATCCACTATCCCATCGGGTAAATCTTTTCATCCTTTATCCTCTGTTTTGTATGGTAAGGTTTAGCGGACGGGTAATCTCAGTTTTAGGTTTTTCTTGCTTCAAACTGCGCAGGACATTTACTTATTTGATTGCTGGAAATTGATCCTGTCTATATGTTGGAGGCTGTTGCATAGGAACAGGCATAATTAAAGCAATTTGTGTCACTACCTTATCACATTCTACTCGTGTAACTTTTGTCTAGATTTTGTAGAAAGTAGCAATTTGAGATAGTACCATACATAACTTGTATAAATTTTCTCAGACATAAATATGACAAGTTCTTATATCATATTTCTCTTCTATTTTAGTCTCTAATTAGGTTTTACCAAAATTTTAATTGTATAGAAAGTCAATGACAAATTTTTTTAAATGATTTTATGAATCTAGGATCTATTTGACGAAGGTGAAAATAGGCTCTCCACCAAGAGAGTTCTATGTGTTGATTGACACGGGCAGTGAGGTGTTTTGGGTTTCCTGCAGTTCCTGCAATGTATGCCCTAGATTTACTGGACTTGGGGTAAGTTTTTATTTTGTTTTTCTTTCGTTGTATGCTATTTTTTTTTAAGTTTTTATACTTTGCATGTTCAAATCTCTGCTACAACAGTTTAGAGAGATTTTCGGACTGTTACAAAATTAATTGTCTATTGTCGTAGATATTGGTGTATTTATTGGAAAGTGTCCTTAGTGGTTGGTTGTATATTGCCTTATGCAACTGGTCCAGGTCATTAGAGTGTTAGAAGTGTTTGCGAGGAGGTTACAAAGGGCGTATGACTTGTTAGCTAAGTAAGCTTACACTCTAGTTGTATAAATAGCTCGTTTGATTTATAACGATTCCTGATTTCGTTTTACTGAACACAAAGCCTTTCATTCTCTTACTTCCTATTCCTCTTTTATTCTTTTCATTTTCTCAAAAGGGTATGTTTATACCATATTTAGACCTCGTATAAATACTCGAAGGACTTAAATGTAATTATGTAATAAATGAATGGGCAAATATGTAATTAGGGGAGGAGCCCTTATTCTATAAAAGGGCCTCCTCACCCTCACAAACCCTAAGCCTCCTCACATCCCCTAAACTCTAAGCTCTCTCTCCCTCTTCAACAAAGAAATATAATACAATCAGTGTGGACGTAGCCCAAACCTTGGGGTGAACCACGATACATCTTGTGTCATTTACATTTTATGCAGATTTACGGTCGGATTTACGTTATACCAAGACCATCCGGTTTTGTGCATCAACAGAGTGCTTACTTGGGGACAAGGGGAGTATACACAATACTCGGCTCCAAAATCTCCCCCAGTACAAGTGTACCTCCACCATCGCCATCTCCCTTTAAACAGTGGGAGAAGACATTCGGAGTTATCCCTCGAGAGGATAACTGTGATACGACAGACAATGGACCTTGGCTTAATCCCAATATCCCATTGAGTGAAAGCTCGGTCTCAGCGAAAAGACCGGACACCGTGGTAGAACACCTGATTCAGAAAATATCAAGGAAATAATGTTCACAACATCATCGTCTTTTGCTATACTATCTATGTGGCAACTGCTAGCTATGTGGCAACACTACCAGGCAAAGTACACTAAATAAAGTATACCTCAATTTAGCATTAATTCTAACAATTAAGCTCTAATAAAGAGATGCTGAGCATTTTCAATTTGAGCCAATTAGTAATAAACGGATGCTATGAAATTTTATTATTTATTTTACTCACCTGAAAATAATGGGTGTTGAAGATCCATGTGCACCTTGGGAGTGCACCGGAATCATATCAAGAGAAAACTCATCTGATATGAAATAACCGGTGGCTTCTTCTCCGCCCATATACAAAATACTATACTCACACTGGTTGCTCTCGTCAGAGCAATGTTTGCACCTTCGGTCCGAACAAGGGAGCAGTCCCGCAGTAGAGGAATTGTCATAGTCATAGAGACTAATTGGAGTCTGTTAAACATGTTAAAGTGCACTTAGGAAAACGAAATAATAGAGAAGATTAGCATTGAAACAAAACTCTGGTAAACATATACATAGTGAGTCATGACCTCAATCCAAGCAATAAATTACACTTCAATACTATTAACTACATTGAAGGATTTGAGAAAATGAAGAAGAAAAGAGGAACATGAAGCAAGAAAATGAGGCTTTGTATTCAGTAAAAAGAAATCAGGAACAAATCAAATGAGCTGCAGAGCTATTTATACAACTAGAATCTAAGCTTTACTTAGCTCGGAAGCCTTTAACTAATTATGTAACCTCTCCTAACTAACACTTGTAACCACTCTAACGACCTGAACCAGTTACATAAGGCCATATACAAATAATCACTCATCACTACCCCCACCCCCCAGAAAAACAAATCTCAAATGGGGAACCCCAGTTTTGAGATTAGCACATTGTCTCACAAACACAGGACTGCAATCCCTTTGTTAGAATGTCTGCAACCTGTGGGCATGTACTGAACAATACTATCATCCTTCTGAAGGTTACGGCTGAATATGATGTGTGGACAGATCCATTTGTGAAGACAATGGACAATCTGGAAGATTTCTTAACTGGCTCTGATTGTGGGAATTGGACATATCGAACAGCACACGAAAAACAACCTCTACTTTTAGACCCACAAAAGGTGGCTCTGCTAAACAGAGGACTATGAAGTCCCAACATCTCTGTAGACTTTTGATGGAATTTCACCAAAACAGCTGCTATATATAGGAGTTGTACACATTGAAATGGAGCATGTTGATTTCTGGACCGAGAGCTGGATGCGTTTGTGGACTGAGAAGGAAAGGGTCTCAGGGACTATCCGACAATACTATAAGCATTAGGCATTGAAACTAGAGATTGGGGTTAACGATAAACAGGAGCATTAGGAATGTAGCTTTCATGAGGTGGAATCATATTCATAGCAGAAAATAATTCAAAGAGATCATGTGCTTTCATCATTGAGCGGCTTCAACAAACCTTATTCCAGAAAACCAAAACCAAACAAATGAATGCAGGGATTACCCTTCATGGGATTTACTTGCTCAAGATTACTCTTTGTGGGATTTACCCTGTTGATGCACAAAACCGGATGGTCTTGGTACAACGTAAATCCGACCGTAAATCTGCATAAAATGTAAATGACACAAGATGTATCGTGGTTCACCCCAAGGTTTGGGCTACGTCCACACTGATTGTATTATATTTCTCTGTTGAAAAGGGAGAGAGAGCTTAGAGTTTAGGGGATGTGAGGAGGCTTAGGGTTTGTGAGGGTGAGGAGGCCCTTTTATAGAATAAGGGCTCCTCCCCTAATTACATATTTGCCCCTTCATTTATTACATAATTACATTTAAGTCCCTCGAGTATTTATACGAGGTCTAAATACGAGGCCCTAAATATGGTATAAACACACTCTATCCTTGAACTTTTTTGTTTAATTGGATCTTTTGATGAATATTTCATCCTTTTGAGTTAACATAACTAGTTTTAATTTCTATTTCAGAAAGTCTTATTATGCAATCAACCTTGAAAGCATTGCAGTCAATGGGCAAATCTTGCCCGTTGATCCAGCAGCTTTCAGAACATCAGATGATCGAGTTACCGTTGTTGACACTGGAACCACATTGGCATATTTTGTAGAAGAGGCATATGAACCTCTTGTTCGTGCGGTATGTTTGTTTACTTTGTTTGATTGCCATTGTCACTTGCTATTCTTTTTTTTTTCTTTTATATCATTTCCCTCTCATTCTTGAGTATGTGGTTGTTCAATCTCTATTCTTTGTTCGAAACTGATTTTGTGTTTGTTGTTTGTGCAGATAACTTCGGCTTCCAACTTTGTGTCTCCCATCATTTCAGGAAAGTCACAATGTTATCTGATCTACACCAGGTCAGTTCTCTCCTGTTCTCACATAGTCACTCTCTTAAAGAAAACGTAATGACATAATGTATTTCCATTAACCTTTCAGTTTGGGGAAGTCATTTCCTTCGGTCACACTCAACTTTGCAGCTGCTGCGTCAATAACTTTGACACCACAAGACTACCTGCTATATTCAGGATCTCATGTAAGGTTTCCTAACCAAAAGAAAAAAAAATGCTATTTGTTCAAAGCAAATGAATATTATTGTACTAATGATGTATGTAGTGGTAAATTAAATGGTTTGTTCTATTCCATTGGTTACAGGTTGGTGCTGCTATGTGGTGTCTAGGTTTCAAGAAAACTCGGGAAGCAAGCCGAGGCTTCACAGTGTTAGGAGGTTAGGCCTCAACACTATTAAAAATTTCAGCAAAATGTTCCAGTATTTATTGTCTTTACTCTTACTATTATTATACTTGTTTTTTAACTTGGATTGCAGATCTTGTTCTGAGAGATAAGATTGTGGTATATGATTTAGCCCGTCAACAACTCGGATGGGCTAATTACAATTGTAAGTCTAATTAAACTACTCTTTTCGTTTCTAATTTGCTTCCCATACACACTTTTTTGTATGTTGAGTTTATGGTAAATACTCACTAATGTTGTATTTCTTTTCAGGCTCATCACCGGTGAATTTCTCTACGGCTTTTCACCCGACACACCGAAATGGAAGCAGTGGCTCATCAGGAGACACACTAATCAAGTTGCTAAAAACTGTGACTCTGCTCCTCTTGATGCATTTGTTCAATCTGTATATGTGATTTACACAACTTTCAGCATTCAAGCTTGTATATGTTATGTGCACTGAGACATAAAACCCTTTAGGGTTTGATTTCTATCCTCCTCTTCTAAATAGCAAATTAGCAATAGAAAAGGGTCCGCAGGACCTGTGTTTTATGTTTTCATTCGGGATAGTTAGCCTTCCTCCATCTTTTACTTTTCTTCCCCCCAAATTTATAGTGGTCAATAATAATACAGCGAATGAAGTCTGAATGTAAATGCAAAGACTGGAAAGAGCGAGTTGTGCTTATTTTTGGGCAAATTATAAGAATGCCGTTTATAGTTTTGACCTAATTTCCACCAACTTCCCTTTACTTTGGATTTTGTCAACTTTTACCAATGTAGCTTTACAATTATCTCACAACCACCCTCACTTCCGTCGATTGGAAATTTTTTTTCTTTGTACTTTTAACACAATACGTTGAAATGAAGGAAAGCTTATTTATTGATATCCCCGATAAGCTACAAATATGTACATATACATGAGTCAAAATAAACACACAAGAGGGAGCCTTCACAAAGGTTGCTTAGGAGAAGTCTCAGCAGTCGGTAGAGCCCCAGAAAGAGAAGGCACCGGAGGGGGATCATTTGGAGCCTCAGTACTGGACAAAACCCTAGAAGGAGGAGGCATCGGAGGTTGATCATTCGGAGCTTCATTACGCGGTACAGCCCCAGAAGACGAAGGCAATAAATGCCTTTGGAACAAACCCACAAATCTCTGATGATCAAGTAAAACCTGACCATCAGTTTCCTTCATTTGGTCCAGCTTCCTCTTCATGTTTGTAGCATAGTCATGTGCGAGCCGGTGCAACTGTTTATTCTCATGCTTGAGCCCTCTAATCTCCTGTTTGAGACTCATCACTTCAGCCGCCAATGATTCAACTTGGCGGGTTCGAGCAAATAGGCGTTGGGCCATATTAGACACAGAACCTGCACACTGAACACTGAGAGCCAGCGAATCCTTAACAGCTAACTCATCAGACCGTTTGGAAAGTAGTCTGTTATCTTTGGGAGTGAGAAGGTTCCTGGCCACCACCGCAGCGGTCATATCATTCTTCATCACGGAATCCCCAACGGTAAGAGGACCAGTAGGGGGAGACGAAGGATGGGCGCCATATGTTGTCTGGAGAAGGCGGGGCTGCCTCTTCAACAAGGTTCAAGTCAAAACGACGGTCGGAGGGGCCAGACATTTTCAAAGGTGTTGAAGAGAGAAGAGGTCGGACAAATCAAGATCTTAGAAGTGCAAGAATGAAGCTTCTACTGGTGGAGATTCAAGTGTGCTTTGGAACTTAATGCCAGCCCCTATAAAAATCTGCACTCGACGGAGCTTCAGAAATCGAAGAGGCGCCTGCTCAGAAATCGAAGAGGCGTTTGCTTTCTCAAAAAGCTGGGCTGCTTAGAGATCACGAGGGTTGATCTCAGAAATCGAAGAGGCGTTTGCTTTCTCAAAAGTTGGGCTGCTCAAAGACCACGAAGGCCGATCTCAGAAATCAAAGAGGCGCTCGCTTTCTCAAAAGCTGGGCTCCCCAGAGACCACGAGGGCCGATCTCAGAAATCGAAGAGGCACCTACTTTTCCAGCCTTGTCAGCACCTGTCACACGCACACTCAGCTTTGCGGAAATTATGGGCATTCTGTCGAAGATTTCTGGGGAAGTAGAAAACACATGAATCTTACTGTTCAATCACCCATTTCCCACACGCAACAATAGCTCATGGGTACCACAGATAATTTTGCCAAAGTTCTCTGCCAAAGTTGAGCACGTGAAGCTTGCAGCTCCCACTACATCGCTCTGACCAAGAAGGGTAAAAGAATAGCAAAGAAACAGCACTAACAAAGTTTAGACCCATAAATTTTGAAGGTCTAGCTACCATATTATTACCCACAAGGGTAAAGGAACAGTACCACTGCTGGATAATTGGAAAGTCCCTGTGTGTCAACCTCTGTGCTTCGTGGCAAGGTAGACTAGCAAACATGCCCAACCTTTACTCACATTCGAGAAAACACTCCCAATAAGATTGCTTGCTCCAAAATCGAAGAGGCACCGTCCTCCGAATCTCGAGAGCCAGACTCCCAACATGACTACTTTCTTTAAAAATCGAAGAGAGGGTAAAGGAACAGTACCATTGCTGGATAATTGGAAAGTCCCTGTGTGTCAACCTCTGTGCTTCGTGGCAAGGTAGACTAGCAAACATGCCCAACCTTTACTCACATTCGAGAAAACACTCCCAACAAGATTGCTTGCTCCAAAATCGAAGAGGCACCGCCCTCCGAATCTCGAGAGCCAGACTCCCAACATGATTACTTTCTCAAAAATCGAAGAGACACTACTCCCCGAATCTTCGAGAGCCAGACCCCCAGCATGATTGCTTTCTCAAAAATCGATGAGGCATCGTTCTCCGAATCAATCGAAGAGGCGCTCGCTTTCTCAAAAGCTGGGCTGCTCAGAGACCACGAGGGCCGATCTCAGAAATCGAAGAGCCACCTACTTTTCTAGCCTTGTCAGCACCTGTCACACGCACACTCAGCTTTGCAGAAATTATGGGCATTCTGTCGAAGACTTCTGGTGAAGTAGAAAGCACATGAATCTTACTGTTCAATCACCCACTTCCCACACGCAACAATAGCTCATGGGTACCACAGATAACTTTGCCAAAGTTCTCTGCCAAAGTTGAGCACGTGAAGCTTGCAGCTCCCACTACATCGCTCTGACCAAGAAAGGTAAAAGAATAGCAAAGAAACAACACTAACAAAGTTTAGACACATAAATTTTGAAGGTCTAGCTACCATATTATTACCCACAAGGGTAAAGGAACAGTACCACTGCTGGATAATTGGAAAGTCCCTATGTGTCAACCTCTGTGCTTCGTGGCAAGGTAGACTAGCAAACATGCCCAACCTTTACTCACATTCGAGAAAACACTCCCAACAAGATTGCTTGCTCCAAAATCGAAGAGGCACCGTCCTCCGAATCTCGAGAGCCAGACTCCCAACATGACTACTTTCTCAAAAGCGAAGAGAGGGTAAAGGAACAGTACCATTACTGGATAATTGGAAAGTCCCTGTGTGTCAACCTTTGTGCTTCGTGGCAAGGTAGACTAGCAAACATGCCTAACCTTTACTCACATTCGAGACAACACTCCCAACAGGATTGCTTGCTCCAAAATCGAAGAGGCACCGCCCTCCGAATCTCGAGAGCCAGACTCCCAACATGATTACTTCCTCAAAAATCGAAGAGACACTGCTCTCCGAATCTCGAGAGCCAGACCCCCAGCATGATTGCTTTCTCAAAAATCGAAGAGGCATCGTTCTCCGAATCTCGAGAGCCAGATACCACAGACCACTTTTTCAAAGTGCTCTGACAGAGTTAAAACATGTGAAACTGGCAGCTCCCACTACCGTGCTATGACCAAGCAGGGTAAAGGAATAGCATTACTACTTGTTGTTAGGGAGACTCCTATATATGTCGACCTCCATCCCCAACGGACAGGCAGACTTGCAAAAATGCTCAACCCTTCATCATATCTGAGAGGGCACTCCCAACGAAGCCTTTCGAAATATTCAGCTTTCTTTCCCCCCGATAATACCTCTGCAAACAAGCTATACTAGAGCAAGAATATCTCATATCATCAGGGTTAAAAGCAAGAGTATCCCATATCATGCTTTTTCCCTGTCTTTTCCTTTGGCCTTGTTTTTACCTGCAAGACAAGGAGAAAGAGAGCAATCAGTCAGCACTTGGAATCAAGCTTCCAGCCAGGAACTGACTGCCTGGAACCCCTTACCTGATTACTTACCTGGCATTGCTCTCGAGTACTCATCTTCAACATCTTATGTTTCCAGGGAAGATTCCGCATCTGCTTGAGGAACAGATAGGGCAAGTGCGAAGGATACAAGGAAGCATGTGGAGACAAGCGTAACAGCACACGTGCCGATACATCCATTACTCTGTCAAAAGCAAAAGTATCCCATATCAGCAGGGTGGAACGTACTCTAGATTTTGATGGACTTGTTTTGACCCTCAAATTCTTCAGTCGGCCTTATACTCTGGAGGAAACCAGAAAACCCTCCAGCTCAGTTCAAGAATAAGCCTGTGGAAAGTTACTTCTTCAAAAGCAAAAGTATCCTATATCATCTCTTCTCATTTTTCTTCTCTTTATCCTTCATGCTGCTGCAAGATGGGGAGAAGGTGAACAATCAGTCGGAGCTCTGATTGCTTACCTTGTCTGTCACCTCTTTCAGCAGACCCCCTAGCTCGGCGACTTGGGGGACTCCTACTACATGGTTTGTATCGCGCTTGACCAAGCCTGAAACTACAAGTAAGCTTCAAGTGAAATTGATACATTACCTTGTGCATCTCCACCAGTTGAAGATACCACCCCTGGATGGAGGAAGAGTACTTCCAGAGAAGATGCCACATCTACCTATGAGACAGATAAGGCAAGTCAAGACGACACCACACTCCGATACTTAGAAGTTTCGTGATTACGAGATCATTCTCCCACAATATTTCCTAATGTCATTTGTACTAAATCATTCACTTGTACTCACTAAAGGAGAGCTTGAACCTATGTACTTGTGTAAACCCTTCACAATTAATGAGAACTCTTCTATTCCGTGGACGTAGCTAATCTGGGTGAACCACGTACATCTTGTGTTTGCTTTCCTATCTCTATCCATTTATATACTTATCCACACTAATGATCGGAGCAATCTAGCGAAGATCACAAAAAGCGACCGTTTTCGCTACCTAGGATCTATCTTGCAAGAGAACGGAGAATTAGATGGAGATCTCAACCATGGAATACGAGCTGGATGGATGAAGTGTAAGAGTGCATCCGGCGTGTTGTGTGACCGTCGTAGGCTACTGAAGCTCAAGGGAAAATTTTATAGGACGGCAATAAGGCCAGCAATGTTGTATGGCACAGAATGTTGGGCGGTGAAGCATCAACACATACACAAAATGGGTGTAGCGGAGATGAGGATGCTTCGTGGGATGTGTGGGCACACGAGAAAGGATAAGATTGGGAATGAGGATATCCGAGGTAAAGTAGGAATAGCCGAAATTGTAGGAAAGATGAGAGAAAATCGGCTCCGGTGATTTGGACATGTGCAAAGAAGG